GTTGATTCTTATTTGGACTAAGAAACCTGTATTTAGGAAGGATAGTTGATTATCTTACTGGTTATAATGGAGGCAAGAGGACTGGGAAGAGATCTATATTGTAATTGATAAATGTTAGGGAAAAAAACCTGCTGGTAAGTAACTGGAATTTAAATGTTGGCTGTCTTTTGTGGAGGAAAGTAACAGAATTGTCACCTTTTTGTGTTTCTAAATGTAACTGTGTGATATATACAAAATGATTTAATTTTGCTTTTATTATGTTAGTGATATGGGTAACCTGGCTGCTTCTGAACTTTTTATTCAATAGGAGACCATAGATCATTACTTGAAAACTACGGAGTTAAAAAATAAAAACCCTGTTTCATTACAGTGACAGCAGATGAGCTGTGGAAAGGTGCTCTAGCGGAGAGTGGTGCTGGAGCAAGAAAAGGAAGAGGCAAAAGAACTAAGAAAAAGAGAAGAAAGGATTTGAACAGGGGTCAGATTATTGGTGAAGGTAAACTTACTTAAAAAAACAGCTAGAGTGCTTTTTAAGCTTTCCCCCCCAGGTTTTATAGGTATTTTACAAACTAGAAGGATCAAAACATATGGTTTTAGAATTTAACCAAGTAACTTCCTCATTGCTCCAGAATTCAGGGGGAGGAAAATCCCATAGAAAGGGATTCATTCATTCAGTTATTCATTCAACAATCACTGAATGTCCCTGTGTGGCATCTCTTATAACAGTCCCTGCCTTCAAAGAGCTTACAATTCAGTGAAAGAAGATAAAATAAATGGAGAGTTGGCAAATTTTCTTTGCAAAGGGAAGATAGTAAATATTTTCAGCTTTGTAAGTTAAATGGTCTGTTTTGCAACTACTCAACTCTAATGTTGTAGCACAAAAACAGCCATAGACAATACATAATTGAATGGGCATAATTGTGTTCCAGTAAAACCTTATTTACAAAAACATTGGTGGGCTGGATTTGGCCTGTGGGCCTTAGTTTGCTGACCCCTAGAACACATGATTGTTTATACTCTTACTTTTTGAAGAATATAAGTAGTGCGGTGGACTTAAATCAGCCCATTTTGTACTGTGGTTGCTGACAGATCATCTTTGATAGTAATAGCCTTTCAGGAATAAAGAAAACACCTTGCACTGCACTTCTAGCATCATATGTCTACTTGCACATTTTTCTTTAAACTTACCTGTATCTTAGTTTATTTTTTAACACTTTTTAAATAAGAATCACATATGAATACCTTCTCAGTAAAAAAATGCAAAGATTCTAGAGAAACTTAAAGTCCCCCTTGAGGCCCCTTCTGTCTCCCCTAGTCCCATTGTCTTCCTAAGGAAACTACCACTCTCATTTTAGTATGTTTCCTTCAGTATTTTTAATGCTTTCTTATACATAAATACCCTAAAAGAAATACATATTTTTGTCTTCTGAAAAATAATTAAATTATATCATAGGGTACATGCTGTCTTATAATTTGCTTTTTTCACTCAATAATAGATCTTGGGAATCATTCTACATCAGAACCTAGAGAGCTACCTTGTTCTTTCAATTTAGTGCAGAATGTTTTATATGTTGGATGTGCCATAGTTCATTTAACCATTCCACTACTGCTGGACATTTGCATTAACTTGCATTGTTTGCCTTTACAAATAACATTTCAGTGGACATCCTTTTCCAAGCACACATGTGCTTTATATCTGTATGTGAGTGTTTCTCTAGGTAATATCATGAAGTGGAATTACTAGCTATCAGGGTACGTAGGTACATTTAAATTTTTGATAGTGGCAAGTGACCTGCCCAAGTGATGGTATGAGCTTAAATTCCCACTAACAGTGTGTCGCCATCTGTACACACATTGCTTAGCATCTTAACACTCGAAAAATGAATGCTTTCTTAAAATTCTTACTTGTTTATATTGTTAAACCTTCAGGGCGCTATGGTTTCCTGTGGCCTGGTCTGAATGTCCCTCTTATGAAAAACGGAGCAGTGCAGACCATTGCCCAAAGAAGCAAGGAAGAACAGGAGAAGGTGGAGGCTGACATGATCCAGCAGAGAGAAGAGTGGGACCGGAAGAGGAAGATGAAGGTTAAACGGGAGCGAGGATGGAGCGGGAATTCATGGGGCGGCATCAGTCTTGGCCCTCCTGACCCTGGTCCCAACGGAGGTAGCAGAGTCCTAGTTTTGCTTGCCTTTGTGACAGAATACTTACAGTTTAGAATTTCCTTAAAAGGATATTTATTTCTTTGTTTAGACTGCCTTTCTCCATGAAAGGATGAGCATCACATTATTATCTCAACTGTATTTTATGGAATATTAGAGGCCCATAATAACGAAGATGGAAAGCACTGGGTTCCTAGTGTCTTTATTAGGTGGCTTCTCAAAGCCTTAAATGTGATGTGCGTTGTGAATCTATAGGATCTGCTTATAGGATGCAATGTTTCCCAAACACAGTTGTCTGCAGGGGTACTTATGGAGCGTTATGGCTTGGGGATGCTGTTTCAACAGTAGAAGTCAACAAATCAAATAGTTGTCATTAAACCTCATAAAAACACATACAAAACAAAAGTTGATAATACTTAGGCCAAATTAGAGAACGAAATTTTCCCCCTCTCCTGAATATGTAAAGAAGTAAAAATTATTGGAAAAACTTGTTCTTGTGAATGAATCAGAGAAGAGGAAATAGGCAAAAGTTTGGTTGCTTTCTTAAGAATTTTGACTTAAAATGGAGGGGGAAGAGGTAGAGATGGAGTGATTCAGGCAAACATGCTTAGACCTGGGCAAAGTATTTCAGTTGAGGGATGAAGGTATGGGATAAAGAGAACAAAATTCATGAACAAAATTAAAGTTCCTAATGAAGGCCCAGATCCAGAGTCTAGATAAATGGGCTAACTTGTTGACAGAAGGAAGGGCAGGGTACAGATTCAGGTGAGCCTATATTGTTGGTAGTGGAAAGGTGAGGGTTTTATACAGTGTCTGGTGGCTGCAGTTCATGTGTAAGGAAGAGGTAGAGTCATCTGCTGAAAATGAAGTGAGGGCATTGATGAGCATGGCCACCACAATATTTCTTTATGAAATCGTAGTGTGTCTGGGACTGGCTTTAAAAATTATCCAGTGGAGTGGGAATTGGGCAGAATTTAGAGGAAAGAAGATTGGCTATGAGTTACTAAAGCTGACTAATGAGTACATAAGCTTTCATTCTCCTGTGCTATAATATTTTTATATGATTGAAAATTTTTATATTTAAAGTTTAAAAAAAATAAAAGAACATAGAGACTTTGAATTAGCTGCTTAGTGAGTGGAGAGAGACCTCACTAAAAAAACATAAAAGGCTGACAGGCAGAGGGAGAACTTGATTGAATTGGAAACCATGAATTTTTAGTGGCCTCTGTGTGTGCTTTGCTTGGGCTTCTCTCCAGCTACACCCAGCAGGCCAAGTGTGGCTGCACTGCTGCATTGATTCAGGCCAGGATCGTGGGGTAGAGCGAGAAAAGGGTGAGGAAGTTGGGGACATTGACAAGATCTGGTGGAAATGATGGACTGTGGTGTCTTGGCAGAGTGAGAGGGGCCTTGAAGATTGGAGGGGACAGGAAGGGAAAGCAGCCACTGAGGGTCTGGAGGTGCTAAGGAGCTGATGAGTGAGAGCGCTGGACGGGGAGGAGGATGCAGTTGGGGAGACTGCATAAACCCAGTGACTGGGTTTATGAATCAGTGGCGGAACAGTCTCTAGTGATGAGGGGGCTGGGGTATGGCCTTGAGAGTGGCACCAAAAGATCTGAGATTCTTTCTCACTTAAAAGTCAACGATGGTGCTTGTGTTGAAAAATGCTTTTGTGTGTTGATTGTATAGACACATTTAATCTGTACATCTGTTATTTTCTCCCTACAGAAACATATGAGGATTTTGATACCCGGATACTTGAGGTAGGCATGCTGAATGAAATACTCAATTAAGCCTGTGGATAGGTTGGGGTGGGTGGGGCAGGGATAGGGCAAGTGGAACTGTGAGGAAAAGCCTTTGGTGCACGGCTGTTTCTGAGATGCAGAGCTGATTTGGGTAAGGAAATAATGCAGCTTTAATTTCAGTTACTTGTTGGCTCTCCTGACTGCTGCCCTTTTTGGGGGGTACCAGATTGAGATCTCATGACAAGGCAACTTCGGTAGTATTGTTAATTACAGAATTTGGAGATTAGGTTTAAATTTCCTCCTCTCTAAAACTAAAGTAGCATTAGCAATCTATCCTTAAATTATAAATCAGCTGTATATAGCACTCATTTCAGGGAGCTGAGATTGGGAGGAGCCATGGGGCAGGGGTAGAAAGCTTAGAGGTGCGGTGAATGTCCTGTTCTTAAAACTGAAACCCGAATCAAGTAAACTGCAATCACTTTGCAGGGCATTCTCTAATATAGTCAACTTGCTCTTGAGCTGACACTGCGTACTTAATCATAATTAAACACCATATGGAATAATCATTTATTGAGTTTGTGATTGAGCCTCTCTGAATATGTATATTGTTTCTTCAATATCAATTGCATTAATAGAATTTAAAATTTATTTACAAGTATTATGTTGTTGGTATACCAGTTTATAGCCTTTGAAATTTAATCCCTTTGAATTCTTATACACGTGGGTGATTTTCTGTAAGATTATCCATGGGGGTGGACTCAAGCTCCCTTTTATTTTAACCCCATTTTATGGGAAAGGGGCCACTCTGAACCACAGAGCCAGCTGCCACGTAAGCAGTTCAGTTAACAGTTCATAGTTCCTGGCCTTTTAATTATGCCCCCACCAAAAACACAGATTTTCCTATAGTTCACAATAAGTAGGTATTTCCAAGTTTTCTATTCTCAATTGAGCCTAATCCTTAGCATAGAGATCCAGCCCTATGCTAGTTATTTCTATGCATTTCTTCATTTCTAAGGTGCACATTTTTTCCTATTTTAACATCTCTTTTTTTCTTTCTTGTGGTACATTCATTCAGATACAGTATATTGTGGCTGGGTGCAGTGGCTCCCACCTGTAATCCCAGCACTTTGGGAGGCCAAGGCAGGAGGATTCCCTGGGGCCAGGAGTTCAAGACCAGCCTGAGCAACATAGTTAGATCCTGTCTCTACAAAAAATAATAAAAAAATTAGCCAGGCATGGTGACATGTGCTGGTAGTCTCAGCTACTCAGGAGGCTGAGGTGGTAGGCTTGTTTAAACCCAGGAATTCTAGATTATAGTGAGCTATGATTGGGCCACTGCACTACAGCCTGGGAAACAGGGCAAGACCCTGTCTCTAAAAATAAATAAGTAAAATAAAGATAAGGTATATTGAGTTGTATAGTTTCAAATTTCTTTAAAAGTTATCGGTTGAACCTTTTAATAACCCTGTGAATAGGCAGAGAAAATCTTATTTCCATTTTATTCCTGAGGAAACGGTCCAGAGGGAGGTTTCATTTGAAGTTTGTTGTTTGTGCTCACAGAATTGGAGGATAACGTGCCTCTTTCACCACATGTGCATGTTGAAGGAAGGCAGGTCCCTCCAGTTCTCTACGTCAGAGTTTTCTTAAGGTGTAATATTTATGAGACGTTTTGTCTTTTAGGTGAGAAATGTTTTCAATATGACAGCAAAAGAGGGAAGAAAGAAATCAATCCGCGTGCTGGTTGCTGTGGGGAATGGGAAAGGAGCAGCAGGTGAATGGGACATGGGGATACCTGCAGTGGTGGCGAGTGGCGGAGGACAGGCTGTGCTGTGGAGCCCATGAGTTCGTGCTGCTGGCCAGACTTCTTCTGCTCATTAAACCTTTGAGTGAATTGGGGTCATAAACTTTGTAAACCCGTGAAAGCCCTTAGAGAAAAAAGAAAGATAGATCTTCCTATATCTACTTTTTCCTCTGAGGATATTTTGAAAGACTTAAGACATTATTGTATTATGTATAATAGTGAAAAATTAAGAGGAAAAACACTAATAGTTCAGAAATATTAACAAAAACACTGATGGTTCAGAAGGGCCATGGTTACAAAAACAATATTAGCCATACAATGTAATATTCTGTAACCATTAAAGAATTATGGAAAATTACTTAGACAACAATGCTAGGTTTAAAAAAAAACTGCATATGAGACTGTATAATATCTTAATTTTTGAGTTTGTTATCAATAGGCTCTAATCCAATATGATTTTTTAAAAAATATGTTTATACGCGAACAAAAGACTGGAAGACTATACACTGAAAAGGTTAATAGTGTTTACTCCAATTGGTAGGTTTGCTGACCATTTACATTTTTTTCCTCATACTTTTCTTTAAAGTTTCAAGAATGGACCTCTGGTTTTGAAATGTATACATGCATGTTGAAGGAAAAGAAAACTGGAACCCTGCCTAATTAGCCCATACTGACACTTTCAAAACAAAAGTAATCCATGTGGATAGTATGTTGTCAAAGGAAATCATATTTAATAGTTAATTTTGTATCTTTCCAGAAATTTTGTATTCATATTATCACCATAAATCTTTAAAA